GTCGATTAAATTTCATTTCCATAGACTCCTTGATTTTTCTGAGGAAAAACAAAGGGGAAGGATTGTTCTTACAGGCAACAAATCGTATTTCAAAAGCAGTGCAACAGTGAAACTGTTGTGTGTCTGCAGACCGGGAAACCACTCTGAATGAGCATTAAGTGACAAAAACAGACCCTTATCTCGATAGGAATGGGTATCTCTAATGAAGCCGTCAAGTAGCTCAGAGGTAGTAGCTATGTACCATATGTTGCTTTGGTTGCTCTGGCAATTATATAGTTTATTCAGATTAGACAAACCTGAACTTTTTAGCTACGTCATTACTTACAAACAATCTGAGCTTGTCTCAGCTCTTCTTGATGTCAGATTAAAAAGAATTCTCCATTTTACAAAAGAGAAAATGGCTTATAGTTTCCTCCTCTCGGTCAGTCACTATTTTTTCTCATATTTGCCTGTCTCAGCTACATGCTTGTACCAAAACATTTGCAATTTACAAAGGGACACTGCTGAAAATAAGTTTTAATATGCCTTCTTTAAGTGCATATGTCTAAGCAAAGCTCAACTCCTTTTACAGCTCCAAGCCGTATTTCCAAGAAAGTATCCAATAAGTTACGGGTTTAAGACTCTGAAAGTGTCTGCTGTTTCTTTAGTGAAACCAAGCTAACTTCAGATGCATTTGGTGCATTCATCCTTACTTAGGCAGAACTCCCACTTGAGTTGGCCCTGAAGTTAAACTGTTTATTCAATTAACACCAGAATAGTAACCACCGACAACTTGCTTTTCCAGGTTTAAGTGAAATGAATGAAAAACTGATGAAACAAGCAAAGTGATTGCTCTATCATTTCCACTTCTGCCATAGAGATTTCAAGAGAAAAGAGGCTACAGACACTTTTCAGACAGAAGAGAGGGAATAAAGAAGGGTGTATCTAATGATTCCCAGGTATAAATTTGATGTAGCTGTTTCAAGCAGCCTGCTGTATTAGATTAGATTTCGTTCTATTTTTCAAAGAGCTGTTTACCATGGAAAGGTTCTTTTGAGGCAGATGCCAAATTGTACTGCCTACGGAAGGAGTGATACACATAACAAAATGGAGCAGTATTTACCCCTGCAAACAGAATACACACCTTGCAGCAACACAGCTGGAGAAGGGATGTAAATGTTCAGCTGAGTTTTACACACTCAGTATGCATTCAGTGAGGAATGTACAGACACCAGCCCCTGTCTCTCATTCTCTTCATTACAGTTTATGACATTTAATAAATCCCTGGGAAATGCAGTTTGCTTTAATAATAACTATTCAAACATTTTTCCACCCCTCATGCCCCAAAAAGTGCAAACCGAAAAAGGGAGAAAAGGCAGAATTAATTTTAAAGGTTCGGAACAGCTGCACCTTCATTTTGAGATGTGTTCACACAAATCATTGACAATCTGCAATGTATGCTCCTCATTTATATATATATATATATCTGTGTGTGTGTGTAAAGGATTTAGTTGCTATAAGACCATAAATATGACGGGTTTAAAGACCTTTAAAGTGGTGTGGTGATTGCTCTTCCTCTGAAAATCTGCAGAGCAGAGTGCCTCTGACTGCCTGTCTGAGAATGAGAGCAGCACCCATCCAGCCCCTGAGATCAGGCTTTTGAGGGCAGAAAGCTCCCCAGAGAACATGCAAGTTGAGCTAACTGGAAATTTGTCATTTTTCTTTTACCTCAGAAAAGGTTAGTTCGGTTCACCAAAATGATTTTGTTTTAATGTAAGTTGGTTTAGGACAGAATCCTTGTCTTAAACAAGCTACCTGCTGCAGGATAGTAAGGTGCTTAGTCCACTGATCTGAGACTGATGGAGTACAAATTTACTGCCTGGCAATCCGACAGGGGGAAATAAGGTCATGGGATGCATGTGCTCTTTTTCATATTTCATGAAAATATACAAGACTCCCAGGTTTGTCCCAGTGACACATCAAAAATTAAAGGAAGATAGGAAAAACATTTCCCATCCCCAACTCTATAGGAAAAGACCCCTTAAAAAAAAACAAAAACAAAAAAAAAAAACATGCTTGACTTAAGCCCTGTGTAAAATCATCATTCAGAAGGTTTTAACAGTACAAAGGTTTATTTAGAAAAGAGTTTGGATTGTTCTTTAGGGTTTTTTGGCAAACATTTAAATCCTTTCATAACTGAAAAGACTGCCAGTGCCTGGTACCTAGCACTTTTCCCCAAATAAGCAGCAAAAGCCAATTTCTTAGTGGGACAAGCCCACCACAGGCCTCAGCTGCTCTGTTTATAAATACTCTGATCTGCTATTCCACCACTTAATCTTTTCCTCTTGATGCCTCTGCTTGTTTTCCCATAAAAATCCAGAGCCCCTATAAGCTCAATGCCTGCCAAACTCAGTGTCTTAACCCATTTTCCTCTGTGGATTCCCTGTGCCTTCTGTCAGGGCTCAAAGACAATCCCTCCCCGCTCTGCTTACATATCTGCACCCCAGCACAGCTGCTCCAGCACCATGTCGCCGTTCCGCACCACCGTGAATGCACTCAGCCTCCCCAACACCATCCCCATACCCCACACCACCACTCTGCACCACCAAGGGGACGAGCCCTCATCCTACTCAATCTGCCCCATCCCCATGTCCTCTTCCCTCCCTTCTTTTTCAGCACAGAGCCATTTCTTTCTCTTTTAACTCCACTTCTGCTCAAGGCAAATCCATCCCTCCAGCTCAATGCCGGAAGTTCTTCTTCTTCTTCTTAAAGAGAATGTGTTTAAAGGACCTGCGGAAGTCCTGGTTGAAGATGGTGTAGATGACTGGGTTGAGGGAGCTATTGCAATACCCAATCCAGAAGAAGAACTTGAAGAGAGTCTCAGGGACCTCACATGCCTCCCGGCAAATACCATAGAGGCTGTAGCTGAAGAAGAAAGGGAACCAGCAAACTACAAAGACCCCCATGACCACGGCCAGCACAAAAGTGAAACGTTTCTCCCGGGCCTGGGTGACCTTCTTACGGCAGATGCTGCTACGCTTCCGGCGACGGCGGTATGAGAAGAATTCCATGGAGCGGTTGCTAGAGCGGGACAGACGGCTACTAGAGTGCTTGGAGGAATATGAGTAGGAGAAGGACTGGCTCTTGCTGCTTTTGCGGGGATGCTCCTCCCGGCTCCGCCTCCGCCTGCTCTCTGAGGTGCTGCTCTCCTCCAGCTCAATGTCCTCCAGCTCAGAGGCTTTACGCCAGTGGTGCACTGAATAATGTCCATTCTCTCCCAGCTGCATCCTCAGGGATGTGCAGCCCCCAGCAGCACGGCTCAAGCCATTCTCAGTCTGGGAGGACCCCTCTGGCATTGTACGCTTCTCAGAGAGGGTCCTGGTCCTTAGCTTGGCCACGCGGTAGATGCGGATATAGACCAACACCATGATGAGGCAGGGGGCAAAGAAAGAGCCAATGCAAGAAGAAAGGATGTACCACGTCTCATCATTGAGCTTGCACTGGGGAAAGACATCTCCTTCGGGGTCCCGGTACATGGAGATCAAAGGCGGGAAGGAGATGACAGCTGAAATGAGCCAGACAGTGAGGATGATGGCCTTGATCCGCCGGGGGGTCCGTTTGAGGTTGTACTCCACCGCCTGCGTGACCGACCAATACCTGTCGAGACTGATGGCGCACAGGTGGACGATGGAGGAGGTGCAGAACAGCACGTCCAGCGCCAGGTAAATGTTACACCAAGCCTTGCCGAAGTACCAGTAATTCATAAGCTCGTTGGCCAAGGAGAAAGGCATGACCAGAGTAGCCACCAGGATGTCCGCGCTGGCCAGGGACACCAGGAAGAGGTTCTGGGGGGCTCTCAGCGCCCGGCTGGTGAGCACGGCTATCACCACCAGCACGTTGCCCACGATGGTGAAGACGATGAGGAAGCCCACCACGGCCGCCAGGCTGGCCACGGCGGCGGGCGAGTAGGGGGACGGAGGCTTCAGGAGGGGCGAGGAGGGGGCCGGCGCCAGGCTCTCGTTGGGGGAGCCCAGGCTCGTGTTCCCCACCGGCAGCAGATCCATGGTGGGTGTGCGGGGCGCCGGCGTCCTACAGAGCCCCGCCGAGCCCCCGCCCCGCCCCGCCGCCCCGCCGCCGCCGCCCCGCCGCCCTCCTCATCGCCCCCCAGCCGCGCGGCTCCCCCCGGCTGCGCCTCCCCCGGACCCCTCAGGGCAGAGCCGGGCGGCGCCGCCCCGCCGAGGAGCGGAGCGCGGCCGCGCTGCCCCCGCCCGGTCCCCGCTGAGGGGACAGCGGGGCACGGCTCGGCCCCGCCGCCGCCCGCCCGCTCATGCCCGGCTCCGCGCAGCCCCCGGCTCTGCGGAAGGCGCCGCCCGGCCGAGGGGAGCCGCGGGCGGGCGCTGGATCCTGACGGGGAGCGGCGTCCGGAGCGGCGGCGGCGGCGGCATCAAGCCCGGCGAAGTCGCGGCTGCCCGGCGGCTCCGTCCTAGTCTTGCATCGCGCTCCCAATCGCGCATGCTCAGTCCCGACAGGTGAAGCCGCCTCGCCCGCGACACCACCCCGGCGAGGAGGGGAGGGGGGGAGGGGGAAATAAAACGCGATAAAACCGCCCCGAGCGCCCGGCCCCGCCGCGCTGCCGAGCCCCCCGCCGAGAAAAAAGTTGGCGGTGCCGTGAGGGGCGGCGGCGAGGCCGGGCTGGCGGCGGAGCGCCGCCTGCGGGGGGTGCCGCGGCCGCGAGGGGGCGGCCTCCGCCCGCCCGCTGCCGTTGGCGCCGCGCTGAGGGGAGCGCCCGGGGCGGGGGGTGCCCGGGGCAGGCGGGGGTAGGCGGCGGTCGGGGTGCTCGGGGTGTGCGGTGACACACCTAGCGAGGGGGTGGCGGGGTGTGGTTGTGGAGGTAGAGGAGTCTAGACGGGGTGGGAGAGAGTTTTGAGGTGGTAGTCCCTCAGTTCGGGCTTTGTGACGGTGGCGAAGCGGCCGCAGAGTTTTGCTCAGACCGTTTCTGGAAGAGACAGGTGAGTGTTTTCAGTAGTCCGAGTGCACGAGGAGTGTGGATGTGTCGCTCTGCTTCTTCACGACAAAGGTGGGAAGGTGGGGAGTGGAGCCATGAACTTGCCTCACCCCCCTCTGCCCGTGGCGAGTTGCAAGTGCGATACATCCTCAGACCTCTGCAGGCAGCCCTGTGAGTACATTACCTTCATTTAGAAAGAAAATTTGAGGAATGACAACAAAAACTAAGTCAGTGCCACTTTAATGCTGCCTTCTCTAGCTGAACCTGCCCAAAAGAGGGTAGAAGTAGGTAGTTCAGCATAGCCTGTCTGTGATTTGTGCTGTGTGATCCTGAGAAAATTCTGCCTTGATCTGGAAAATACATACTCTCTTCCCACCCTCTTTTCCTCCATCCACTCTCCCTACATCCCTCATCCCCTAAAACCTGCTTTTGAGATTGCCTTTGTGAAGCTATTTGGACATGGTCCTGGTCAACCTCTGTAAGTGGCTGTGCTTCAGAAGTGGGGTTGGATGAGATAACCTGCAGAGGTCCCTTGCAATTTATAGTATTCCATAATTTGTGGTTCTTTGCAACACTATGAGATTAGGGTAACGTTAATGTAAAGATAACAGCAATATATTTGGTGTTCCTCTTCTGGGAGCCCTCCTTGGTGCCTGGATTTTTGGATCACAAGTCTTCAAAGCAAGGGCTGTCCCACTGGTCTCTTTGCTTCTGTGCTTGCCTTTTTTAGTGCCGCGCTGCAGAGAGCTTGTACTTATATAAATCTGATAACAGTAGCATAACCCTACCCACAGGATTAGCTGTGCTCATTTAAGGTGAGACAGCATATGAATTCATCCACAGCTAGTTACTTCAGTAGTTGCTTTTAATCCATAATAATATATGCCTTTTATGTTGTGTGGCAACGTTACCAGCTTGCACAAGATGGCCACATTTTCCTCTGTAAAAATGTGGTAAACGAGGTGGATATGTATGACAGGTCTTGCAAGGTCTTGTGGTACTGAAAACCACAACCTTAGTGGATTCCGTGGCTACTACCTAATCTTGGAGTTGCCTAAAATCCTTCATCATCACCCTGCTGACTTCTAAGGAGAGGAATTTGATGTTGTGCCTATGGGTATTCCCAGTCTGAGCAGCTGTCTTATGCCTCCCTTCTGTGCCCCATCTGGACCCAGAAATGCAGTGTCCCTAGGACTTGGGAAGGTCACAGTATGGTGGAAACATTCTGCTTACTACTGCCGTGATCATATTCTTTATAAAGCAAAAAGGTGAGTTTTAAGGGAACATAAACCTAAGAGAACTTATCCTTCATTGTATAACTCGGTGTTATAATTGTCCTCAAGTTGAAATAGAACAGCCTTTGTCTTTGGGGAACGATAAGGGATTTTCTGATTCCCATTAACTTTTTGGTGCAACAAGCACTGACTCCTTTTTTTCTTTCTCTTTGTTATTTTAGTTACGTGGACTGGATTATGAAGGGCTGGAACTGAATATGCTTGGCTCTGATGGGAAAGAAAAATCCTCTGAAGATTATGATCTAACAATCTATTTTATAAGCAATTTACTCTGAAGTTTTTTTGTTGTTTGAAAACTAACCAACAAACACCTTGTGACTGCATCTAAAAGAGAAAAGACATCATGTTGAAGCTAAACTTTCTAATGCAACTGAAATGCAGAAGCAGTAATTACCTAAACAACTAAAGCGTAACAAGCAGAACAAAATGAAATAGAAATCCGATGCCCCCTCAAGTCCTCCTAAACAGACAAGCAATTTGATAAGGAGGGCCCTTTAAAAACATTTGCCAAGCCTCAGGAAGAATAAATGAATGGAATTTGAAGTTAGTGAAGTTCAAACGGGAAGTAAATAACACATTTTTAACATGACAGCTGAATAACCACTGAAGCAAATTCCTAATATTTGTGGTCAGTTCTTCATATTTGAAAGCTTCATAATGGTGTTTATGAACTTAGAGGACAAGGTGCAGGAATTTAAAGTCTAACCTCTAATGTGACTGACATTAGGCAGGATGACATTAGCGAGAATGTTTATCAAACTGCTTCCATCTGGGCTTAAAATATCATAAATATAAACTGCAAAATCACATGAACACTTGGAATTCAAAAACTAACTGTTAGAAAAGGGATATATAAGCCCCATGATATTCAATTCCCTTAGGGTAATTAGGAAAGCAGACCGAGCTACATATCCTACTGAGTTTTATGAGCAAGTATATCTTGGAGTTGTATGAGCTTGAACTTGAAATAAACTTTCAGCTAATAACTCGGGGCTTCAGATTAAAAGAGCTTTTCAATAGAGATTTATCTTTGCTGAAATAATACTGAAGTTTCTTAACAAAAGGAATGAGACAAGTGAATGTCTGAGCAATTATTTGGCATTTCTAATGAGGAGATGCCAATTGTAAAAGATATAGGAAAATTAAAAATAAATTGGGAGCAATAATATCCATTTTATGTTGTGATTTCTTTAACACCAGAGTTGTACTGTAACTGAAATAATTCAGTCACTAGTATGTGCTGACAGAGTGAGCCCTAGGCACACATTTATCATTTCAGTATAACTCCACTGGAGCCAGTGAAGTAACGTTTGGATTTTCATATATGTAAATGAGATCCAGTTTGGGTCCTCTGTGCCTAAATAGCAGTATATCACCATACAGAGAGGAATTAAAAATGTGCATAGATAAGAGAAATCTGCCCTCATGAAAATCTGCTTAGTCTACTGAGAGACAAAGATAGGAGCAGAGTGAAAAACAGTGGATAAATCAAATGTAGTCATGTTTTTGAAAATCAGTTATTTGATATAAAACATAAAGGATAAGGTTTCTAGAAACCTGGCAAGGTAGGTGGGCACATTTCTACTCTTTATCCTTTCCTGCCCTTACGCTGATTCAAATGCATCTCTCCTTACAGTATTTTGTTCATTCTCAAAACTGGCTTTCCAATACTTAATAACTCCTAACTATTGGCCTGCATTGGAGCTCACAGTCCGTAGGTGATAATATATTCCCATGGAAAAAAAAAAAAAGAAAGGTGGGGAGGGAGAACTAGAGACTGGGTGAGGCTCCTTTAGGCAGTGGATTGGACCTGGCTTAAGATGATCCAAGCCCAGTTCTTCCTGAAGTAATCCAGTAGATATTGTGCCATACCCATCCACCCGCTGTATGGTGTGCAGCTTTGGTTCCATCATCCAGCATCCCACAACAAACTTTCCATCACAGAAGGCTGAGAAGATCCCACGGGAGCAGAACTACTTCTTACAGCTTTTTGTCTCTAATTCTTGTTTTTCTTTACTTGGACTCTACAGTTGGACTGACCTTTAATTCAGTTTAACTGACAAGAAGTCTGTATTGGTCAAAAAGACCCACCACCTGCACCTGGGTTTAAGTCTTGGGAAATCACAAAACCTGTCATTGGTTAATCTGTGGCAGTGCTGACCAAAAGAAATCAAATCCTCATTTGGGGGCAGTTATCAAACTGATATCCACCCAACCACTGAAGTCAATGGAAATAGTGCTACTGACACGCTTTAGGCTTCTGTTAGGTTGTGTTTGGTTTGAATACAACATCATCTGCCAGAAGTGCACACTGTGCTTCCATGTACATAGAATTAGGAGATAAAGCTTTTGCCAGTTGGAGATAAAGCTCTTCCAAACTTTGCCATGTTTTAAGACCTCAAGAGAGACTTGTATGCTTGAAAGCGTCTTTTTCCTCCCACCTGTATCAGCTGAATTAAAGGCAAATACTACTTCCCCCTACAAACCTACCTCTTTATATATCTTTAAGTCATCATAATTGTAATCGTTCTGTTAAAGAAATGCTGTTCAATGCCATTTTCTGCTTAAAAAACAACAAATTAATCCCTCCCTCTAGAAAAGAACAAAGTTTTCTTTCTTAATAGAGAAGGTGATTCCTGATTTTCAGTGAGAACTTTGTTCTTTATTCCACCTTGTAGCTTTGAAAATGTGTATTAGATAAACAAAAAGGTTTACAGGACAGCCTTATGTACTAAACATCTGGAAGTGCTTTTTAGCTTCTCAAACTAAGCTTTACATCAATCAAGAAAATTATACATTCTTATCAACTGTACAAGAAACTGCTAACAAAACATTCTGTACATCTGTTTACTTTTAAAGACACATTTGCATTATAACTCTGCTCAGGATGTAACGATCAAGTAGAATGAGTTAGCTGGAATCTCTGTAAATAGTTAAAGAGAGAAGCTACAATAAATCCATGTAATAGCAAAATGGGATAAGAGGTAAATAGTAAGTAGTCTGTCCTGAATTTTGAAAGAAAGAAACTAAATGTAAGAAAAAAGGGAGTTTTTCTTTAATAAATAAATAAATAAATAAAGATAAAAAAAGCAGTACAATGTCCAGAGAAAGACAAAATTTTGATTAAATTAATTCATCTTTTTGAAACCTATTCTTTATATGAAAGAATATTTCATTAACAATTTAGGGATCAAGACCAAATCAAAACCAATTTCTTTTTTTTTTTTTAATTATTTTTTCCTTTTTTTTTAATTTCCGTTGGTGAGGAACTAAATCACCATGTTGAAGTCACTATTATGTTTGAGCTCAATATGAGCTCAATATGTTCAATAGTTCAATATGAGCCAGCAGTGTGCCCTGGCAGCCAGGAGGGCCAACCGTATCCTGGGGTGCATCAAGCACGGCATCGCTAGTAGGTCGAGGGAGGTGATTGTCCCGCTCTACTCTGCGCTGGTGCGGCCTCACCTTGAGTACTGTGTGCAGTTCTGGGCACCACAGTATAAAAAGGACATGAAACTGTTGGAGAGTGTCCAGAGGAGGGCTACGAAGATGGTGAAAGGCCTGGAGGGGAAGACGTACGAGGAACGGCTGAGGGCACTGGGCCTGTTCAGCCTGCAGAAGAGGAGGCTGAGGGGAGACCTCATCGCAGTCTACAACTTCCTAGTAAGGGGGTGTCGAGAGGCAGGAGACCTTTTCTCCATTAACACTAGCGACAGGACCCGCGGGAACGGGGTTAAGCTGAAGCAGGGGAAGTTTAGGCTTGACATCAGGAGGGGGTTCTTCACAGAGAGAGTGGTTGCACACTGGAACAGGCTCCCCAGGGAAGTGGTCACTGCACCGAGCCTGACTGAATTTAAGAAGAGATTGGACTGTGCACTTAGTCACATGGTCTGAACTTTTGGGTAGACCTGTGCGGTGTCAAGAGTTGGACTTGATGATCCTTAAGGGTCCCTTCCAACTCAGGATATTCTATGATTCTATGATTCTATGATTCTATGAGCTGAAAGTGACAGAGAAATTTATCAGTTCGGCTCCATAATGCAATTTTTCCTCTGACATTCTGTCATATATTTGTGACCTTTTTCATGCTGTTGTCACGTATCAGTATCATTGCTGTTGGTTGTAAGAACATACAACAGAAGTCAGATAATGTTAGTTAGCCATATCTTGGCTGGCTGGTTTCTGTATTTTTTTTTTGTTTGTTTGTTTGTGGGTTTGTTTTTGTTTTTGTTTTTGTTTTTTGCTTTTGCAACAAGATTGCTTCAGCCATAACTGTTGCCAAGAGTGCCATTGCTTCAACCCTTTGGAACCAAACCTCGGGCTACCACTGAAATATTTGTTAGATTCTCTCTATTACTGGAGAGTCATGAAAAATAGATCTATGTCCCCTATTCCTTTTTACTATTTGTACTGTTGCTGTTATCTGTACTCATTGTGAGGCTTCTTCATTTCTTATTTATTTAGTCAGACTTTAAATAGCCTTCCCAGACACCTGTACTGATAGCTGTGCCATTTGCACAGGATGAGTGTATTATTTTTTCTAGGACTCCGCACTGTATTTGAAGACTCTTTCACTTGATTTCAATGTGTTTTATAATCATACAAGACAGTAATATGTATATTATAGTAAGCACAGGTTTTTTTTTTTAATTTATTTTTCTGAACTTATATAAAGAATGCATTTATTTGCATTTTGAATAAGGTTATGTAAATTTGTAAAAGCTTCAGCTTCTCAATAGAGAAAATTGTGTATAGATAGCTTATCTGTGGGATTGCCTATCTCTATTAATTGTACAGCCTGTTTGTTTGGCATCAGGGTAACACAGCCATTTTTATCACGTACTTTCAACTGATTTATTTATGAGATGGATTTTGACTACAAGACCTTACTTCTCTACTCAGTTCATTTATATTTGAAGCCCTATTTCCACAGTAATGATCACATAGCAGAATCCATTCCAATGGATTTCAGTGAAGGTGAGGTAGAAGATACAATTTTTGTTACCAAGGTTCATCACCTTCTAGCTGCATCCAATTCACAGCATGTTTATGCTTAATGTGTTGAATTGCCACATGAAAGACTTCCAGGGTTGGTACTACCTGCTATGACAATCCATTATCAAATCAAGCTACATCCAATTCAGGACAAGAGGCATCATCTTACATTGTTGTATGATGCTATTCAAGAGAAAGCTCTTGTATATACCAGATCAATTAGAACAAGTATTACTGTGTTTCCTAAGCCTGCAATGAATGGCAACTCTGAAGCTACTGCTTTGTAGTAATGTAATTGGCTTCAGTGTGGTTAGCTAGACTGAAGACTTTCCAAGAGAACAGGAGAAGATTCTATATTCCTGCTTTCATATCAAACCTTGGGGACATACACTAATATTGTGATGTCCTTTTCATTTCCTTATATCTGTTCTATAGTAATTTGAATTGTATTTGATAATTTATCTTTCTTCTGTCTCTCAGAGGCTACTTTAAGCTCATGCATATTAGAATTCTTCAAGATAGATATCAAATTTTGCCATTCCTTACTAGCAAATTGAAGCATTTTCTTGCAAAGTTTTTGAGATGTTCTGCCTTTCTGTTCCTTTGTTCCTCTAAAAGATTTTTTTTTCCTATTTTTTTTTCTCCCTAGTCATTACTCCTTATTTCAATTTCCTCATTGTGGCTTAAAATCTCCATAAAGTCTTTAAACAGCTTGATGAATGTTCTCATGTCTCCCTTCAGTGCTGCTGTTTCTGCTTTCCGTGTCTGTCGATATGCACAGCGCCTTTTATCCTGTTTTGGCCGATCTTTTTACTGCTTTATCTTTATCCCTATATTTCTTTTGTCTTTGTTTACTTTTCTGGCCTTAATGTATTGAGTAGATTTAACTTATCCTGCCTTTTTTCTGTAATAGCATCCCATGTGGCATTACTAATCCAGTCTTCTTTTCTAGTTTTAATAAAGAACAATCTCTGCTGAATTAATACAAAATTTACAAATGGTTTCCCATACTTTTTTTATAATGTCAAACAAAGTTTCTGCCATATCTGAAAGCTTTCTTGAATGTGTCAATTAAAAATCATTCCTTATGTATTCATTCTTCATTAAAGCTATTAATTTTTGTTGCAAACTTAATTCTCTCGTTTTGTTTTGTTTTGTTTTCATTTTAATGGT